ATTAGCCTGGTGAGAGTCAGAGGGGACAATGTGATGTCAATCTAGGTCATGAAAGGAAGAGACCTGGACACTTTAGAGACCTGGAAGCAGACAGGCATAAACAGGTTGTACTTAATGAAGGGTGTTGAAGCTAGAGAACCAGATCTGATAGAGAGATCATGCAGGATTTATAAATCATATTAAATATTGTGAACCTTCTACTGAGGGCAACTGAGAGCTTACTGAAAAGCTTCAGTAAAGGGCTAACACGATCTGATTCAAGTTTTCTTTTTAAAGTAACTTTTGTGTTAAAAAAAAAAAAGTAAAGACTTTCCCACTATACCTAACTAGGAGTACAGCGAATGGTGATTTAAAGCCCAAGTTATAATTGACTCATACAGACCTGTTTTCTGAATAAGACTGAGATGAGGGTGTGAAAGAGGATATAGTGCTCATGTGGGGACTAAATGCCAGGAACAGAAAAGGAGGAAGGGCTTAGGAGCTCCTTCTGCTTTGCGGTTGTAGCTGAGACTGGCCCTGCCTATGCATGTCTGCAGCCTCAGGAGCACAAGTTCACAGGCAATTGCTGCTTCTCTCATGGTCGTCTTCCTCCCTATGTGGGGGACTCTGGTTTCTGCACTGTAGTTAGTAGGTGGCTTTTCTCCTACTTACGATATCTTGTAGAGATTTAATTTACTTGTCAGGTATCACCGGTACCTCTCTGCGAATGATTAGCAAACCTCTCTGTTCTCCCTGATCTCGAGAGGATTTCTGATGCTTACCAGCTCTACCTTGTGTTAATGCCTTGTGTTAGCATATGCAATGATACACATGCAAGTGTTCAGGGTCACACTGTGTGTAATTCACTGAGAATTGTATATACTTGGTTAGTGCTCTCCTGTGTTCAGTAACATGTCTCATTGTCTGCTGGAGAGCGGACACCAGAATGCCATTGTAATCACAAACAGCCTGCTTATTTATAGTTAAGCAGGCCTCTGAAATCTCCTGTGTCTGTCAGTAACATCAGCATTTCCTGCCTCTCAAGTTTCAAGGTTTGGAGTCTGCCTTGACACCTTTGTCTTATGGTTGGAGCAAATCCAGCCACAAAGACTGTTGCTATTTACTTGGTGGGATGCCAATATGCCCTTTGTTCCTTTCTTCTATTACCTGTTATCATGCATCCTGCTTAAGGCATGGGAGAATGCTTCCACCCACAACTCCTAAATTTAGGTTCGTTTCTCAGCACATCCCCAGGAACCCCATGACTATTCTGTATATATGAGTCCTTGTCAAACTTATTTTATTTAGTAAAGGCTTTTCAAATATGTTATCTTTTTTTTGCGGGGGAACCCATTGAATTCTTAAAGGAATATTATGCAGGACCTTGTAGGTAAGAGACTTTGTGTATAAGAGAGATAATCATATATTCCCTGACTGAAGATGGGCTGAAAGCAGCACAATCTTGCCAACTGGCTCTCAGCTTTTATGGCAAACATTTGGAACCCAAGAAGTTCATTGAGACTACAAGTAAACACAAATTTATAGATTAGAGTTAAAAAACTTGGAATGATATAATGTTTTCTTCCAAATCCCTCAACACATTATTGTTATCAGCATACGCAAAGCTTCACAAACAGTTTTTAAATGCGCAGCCAGTCTCTTCCGCCTGTCCAAGCTGTCGGCATTCTCCCTGAGTTCAGTGTCCAGAAAGCCATCCCTCCATCTCTGCCAATTCAAAGGACTTCTTTTCTCAGCTCTCATCTTAATCTCCCCAAGGGGTTCCTGTATCATATTAGATCTGTGCCATTTTTCTTTTTTTGAGATTCCTGCTTTATTCCTCTTCTTACATTCCTATCTTAAACTTTTGTCTTTTCAGCTGTGCATTTAATTTCTCCCACTTAGATGATATACTGTTTTAAAAAATCAAGTACTTTGCCAATTTTGTATTTAGCATCTAGTATAATATGCTTCCAATAGCATTCACTTAGTTGGTATATTTTTTTTCGGGGGGGGTACAGGGGATTGAACTCAGGACCTTGTGCTTATGAGGCAGGAGCGGTACCATTGAGATAAATCCCCAGGCCTAGTTGGTATATTTTGATTATAATCCACAGCAGAAAATAAAAGCAATAGGGCCAATGATCCCACTTGCATTAATAGAAATCTAAATTAAATATAGTGTCTTTGGAAATGTTCCTTCTGAGTAGTACTTGTAAATTAGGAGGACTGGTTACTATGACTTCAATTATAAGTATTACCTTTCCCCCCAATTACCATTAAATGTAAAGCTGCATTTTTGGTGGTGTTTTATTAAATAATGTTAGAAGGAGATGGAAAATGACATTAGATGGTTGCCAAGTGGAGAGTTCAGTTTAAACTAGAAAAAAATGTTTCATTCATCCACAAATACAAACACAAATCATAGTCAAAAGATTATAAGACATCTACATGAGTGTAGAAATTGAATGATGTTTCTTTACTAATTAAATCTGGTTTAAATCACCTAGCATGTTGTACATGGCCCCCGTAGTCTGGCCCACTCCACTATTCCATCCTTAGCTTTATCCCTGCACCGCCCCCCCCAATCCTGGTCGCAACAGCAGGTTCTCAGCTTCCTGGACTGCCAACTCCTTCTCTCCTACTGCCTTCCTGCTAGTGGCACTGTGTGCCTGCATGGATTTCCTGCTTCTTTCCTTGCTCAATTCCTGCCATCCTTCAAGGATTAGTCAGCTTGTTACCTCCTCAGAAAAATTCCTCTCTGATTTGCAGAATGATTTAAGTTTCTTTGTGATGTTCTCCCAAATTGCATTATCATGATTATAAACACATACATTAACTGTGAAATAATTTTGTTTGTGTTCCCCACCAGATTATAAGCTCTCTCTTATCTGAAACTATCCAAATATTATACACGATATAATATTCTCAATGCCTAGAATGAAGCCTGATGCATAATAGATGCTTGACAGAATAAATGGATAAGAATTTTGTGCATGAGTATCTTTTAAAATTTCCAGAGAAACAAACCATTCCAATGTCATCACATCCAGACCTCAACTCCTCTTCTTGCTCCTGCCTTCAGTGGACAAGGAAGCCTTCTCTAGGTCATGTGATTCACATGAAACATGCAGACGTGTTTCATCAAGTAACTTCAGCTTTTACAAAAACAAATGCAAACAATTGAGCATTGTGCAACACAAATCTTCACTTGTTCTAAAATGGACTTCAGCTTAGATAATTGGGAATAACATGAAAAGTTTAAAATATGCATTTTGTTTAAAACTGCCTCATTTATTCCTATTAGCATGAATGTGCCCACAGTTCTTTTTAGCATTAAGTTATTTTGAAAATATATAATTTTGTGTAAAAATTACAAGCAAGTGATCTCATAGTTATGAAATGTCTACATGCTGAAATCTTTTAGTGTATGATGACCAGTATAGTTAATGGGTCTCCTTCCCTAAAGGCTGATGTATCCATGACCTGTTTTAGCGTTCTTTCATCCTTGAGTTACCCTGCTGTGTCAGACAACTGGAGACCAAATTATAGCCAACTTCAGAGGAGATATTTTTTGTTATACAAAAGTCTGACCTTAAAGAGCCCCATCAGCTTTGAACATTTCTCTGTCAGGATGTTAACCGTTCACCAAATTTGCATTAAACAATCTAAGGTTTCACACACTCTCACTCGTGTTTCCTCCCCTACTATTTTCTGAAGTAGAACGTGTGCAAGACTCAACTGTCTTGTTAGTCCTTTTGCCAGAATAAATCATTATTCAACTCAACAGACAGAGGAAGAAGTCTAATTCTATTCTGCAACAGCCATCAAACTCATGAACACTTCTGCATTATTGTTCTCATACCCAATCAGAAAAATAGCAGTATGAATACATGTTGTTTTGAGGGTAGGCCTCAAACACACATATAACTCACAGCAGAAAGAAATACATCTGTCTGACATCTAGCCTTTCTCTGTAGTGACTGACCTGCAGGCTTCTACATGATCAGACTCATCATCATAGGCAGCAGGAGGCTTTGGAACCAAGCTATGCACCCGGGGGTCAGAATCGTCCACATACTTGCCACCTTCTGTGATTGCAAGTATGTCAGTGCTGGAATCCGTTTCTGAAAGTCTTTTCTGGGCTGTTTCATTTTGTCTGAGACTGGGCAAGAGCTGAGAGTCTTGAGGGCAGAATCTACCTTTGCTTCCCTCTTGATTCCTTGATAGTCTCTTCATCTCAAAGGATTCTCTTGGCAGAGAAGCACTGGATTCTTGGTACCTTATGACTTTTCCTCTATAGAAGTTTAAAGAACAACTCTCACATTCTATCAGCTCTTGTTGCTGCTCACTTTTGGATCCCAAATCAATAAGCTCAATTCCTTTAGGAGTAGAAGACTCAGCCAAACTTCCACATGATTTATTATTGTTTCTCCTTCTTCTTGACAGTCTGAATTTAATCTGGGCTCTCCTTTTGGCCTGAATCCAGTGACTCTCATCGGTGCAAGATGAATCTGAAGAATCTGTGTAAAGTTCCCTCCATCTGGGGCTTGATATCTGGAACTGGAAGTCATTTTTTCTCCCCTTTTTCTGCTCTTCTGCATGCTCATACCTCTCAGAGGCCCTCCTCCTCCTAGGCTTCTGTTTTACTGACTTCTTACCAGAATTCTTAGCAGGGCTCAGCACCATGACAGGGGTACAGTGCTCAAATGCATCTTCTGACATGTCATGCAAGATGGAAGATCTAGACAAAGCAGCAGGCAAGGATAGGAAATGGGAATGGAGAGGAAAGTCATGGAAAGACAGGGAGAGAGAGAATGATGAAAATGATAGTATGGCCAGAAGTTGGTAAACAAAGATCAACTGAAGAAAATGAACTAAAGAGGAAAACAGTTGAGCCAAGTATAAATTGTCCACGGGCAATGTAAAGCAAAAGCACAAGCCACACATTCTCAGAATACAACACAAAAATACAAAACGCTGGTCTAAGGAATACTGAATAGGATTATTTGCTCAGCACTTACCTGCAGATGTCCTGAGTGGATGGACAGACAGACAGCCTTGACTGGCTCCTGGGAGCTGTCCCTGTGGTGGGGCTGCTGGCCTGGAGAAACAAGTTAGATAATTTGGCATCTTGGTTAAGGTAATACATGGTTGATATCTTTCTTTTTTTCCACATATTTAAAAAATTACAGCAAGCGTGGCTGCCGGTCATGTTGTTCATAATGCAGCTCACAGAATATAGGAAGTTAAAGGGTGGGTTTTGCAAAAGTAAAACTTATTTGAGGAACTTAGAACAGCTGATATGCTCTACCACTCTGTTGTTGCTTCACTTATTGGAGAGGAAGATGATTCTACAAGTTTCTATTGTATTTACTATAATCTTTTACGTGGTAAAAGCTCAATTTTCCTGGGAAACAATTGGGTAATGGTTGAACATCTTAGGAAATAAAAGACTAAAATACTGTTGTGTGATAAGGATGGTAATAATCTGGGAGGTCTAAGTAATCAAACAGCCATTAGATTGCTAGATACTGCCTCAAGTTAACATCATGAGATAATATATTAGAAAACACTTTGCAATATTAAAAAGCCAGGAGTTTTTAATATTATTATTTTATCACTATAACCAATAAAATAAAGTGGACCCTTGACTTATGAACTGGATTAGTTTGAGAGGGCTGGTTGTAACCCAAGTTGGTCAGTGATGGCTCAGGCTCCTCTACACAGCCTTCAAAGTCTCTCTCCTGTACACAGCCAGATCTTGGTGTCCTTAGAGAGACACTGGCCCAGGATTTCTCAATTAAGCTGACACAGGAAAGGATGTTGTAATGTTCCTTCCAGAACTCTCTAAGGGTTAAATCTGTGTCTGAGACCATCTGGAAGCACAAGTGGCCAGCATTCATGTCATAACTCAAGACTTTGTTCATAAGTTAAAACTAAAATTCTGGTTGTAATCCAAGTTGTTCATATGTCATGTGGGTCGTAACTCGAGAGCCCACTGTATGTCCACTGAAACACTGTTGACCTTTTATATACTTTTAACCCTCTGACATACTGAGCTTGAGCATGAGAGCCTGAAAGATCTCAGCTTATTAGTAGCACAAAGACAACACTTTTCACTAGGTTTCTACCTTTGGAACATTTTCTTCACTCTGACTTCTTTAAAATGTTGTATTTAATTCAGATCATGAAGCCAAAGGTAGTATACATCAACAATTTACTGACTGATTGTACTGTGGTTTTATCTACTATCTCTAATCTCTATGATAATTTCACAAGAGGAAAATAATAAATTTATTGTTTTGAGTGGTATTACACAGCAGACATTATTTTTGGCAATTTCCATATATTTAATTCCATAAGTGTATGTGGCAAATGCCATAATTATTTCTATGTTGCAACTGTGAAAACTAAGAAACTGGAGCAGCTTCTCACTAATGGGTGGTAGAGCAGAGATTTGGAGCAGGAATCTGGTGCTGCCTTCTTCTCTTATCTACCAGCAACAGAAGTGGAGTTAGGGGTCCAGATTCAGGACTGTATGATTGCATAGATAAAATACAGAAATTTGTCACCAAGAAAACAATACTAAGAGTAAAAAGATTAACCAAATTTAAAAATTACTATTTCAGAGACATGGGAATCATCTCACATTGACCCAGAGAAAGAGAAACCAATTCTTTTTTTTTTTTTCTTAAATTCTTTTATTGGTACATTTTAGGTATACAACACATTTACATTTCTCATTGGGAACTTGTACCTTTAGGTGATGCATCTTGGTTCTTATTTTTTCCCCATTCCTAGTCCTCCCTTCACCCCCTCCACCCTTCCCTATTTACAAAGTCTTTGTTTCCATTTTTTCCATTTCTCATCATTTTTCCTTTCCCTTCTTTCCTTTCCCCTGCCCCTCCCACTACCCCTACCCCTTTGGACCTTGTCTTCTTATTTTGCATTATCAATTATTCATTCTAATCATTGGTACATTTTAGGTATACAATATAATGACATTCAACATTGGAAATTTGCACCCTTACATAATCTCTCTTGGTTCTTATTTTTCACCTTTGCCCAGCCCTCCCTTCAACCCCTCCAGTTCTCCCTATTTACAAAGATTTTGTTCCTATTTTTCCATTTTCTCATATTAATTCCATTCCCTTCTTAAGAGAAACCAATTCTAACTTAAGAGGAAAGAAAGAAAAATTAGAAGAGGAGGTACAGAAGGCTGAATAATGGTCCTCTAAAGAGGCCTGCATTTTAATCTGTTGACCTTGTGGACATTTTTCCCTACTTGGCAAAAGGGATTTCACAAAGGTGATTAGGAATTCTTAGATAGGGAAATTATTCTGGCAGACTCAGTGTAATCATGAAAACCCTAATAAAAGGAACAAAATAGAGTTAGAGCCAGATAGAGAAATGAAGGGTAGGAATAAAAATCAGAAAGAAGGGAAGATGCCTTTAGAAAGTAAATGGACCGGCCCGTCAGCCAAAGTATGAAAGCAGCCTCTAGATGTTGAGAAAGGTTGAAAAAGGGATTTCTCCCTGGACCTCAAGGAGGAATGTAACCCTGCCGACACCTTGATTTTAGCCCAGTGGGATTTATGTTTGGCTTCTGGCCTCCAAAACTAGAAGATAATACATTTGCATTGTTTAAAGTCAACAAGTTTGCGGTAATCATTTAAACTAGTCATTGATAAGTAATATGTGAGGAGACACTTTAAGCTGATCTTAAAAGGAAAATAGGAATTATTAAAGACCAGACAAAAATTCAGGTTAGAGGAAATAGTGTAACATAACGAAGGCAGGCATTTTCAACATCCTCCATTGCACTGATATACACTTGCAGACTTTCAATTCTCAATGTTCTGGTCCTTTTCTGTCAATTCTTGAATACTGTACTCTTTTAAGTATTTAAACATCATTTTTGAACATCAGTCCATTTTCAGTGATCTTGAACATCTGTATCAAAGCCCACTTCTTCCAAGTTTTTTTTTCAGAACAGATTCATTTCTGCATCTTTTGAACAAGTAAACTTTTATAAAACATATAATTTCTGTGTCACATATGTGGTAAGCAGTAAGTTTCCTTAGACTGTGCAGCCCTTATTCCACATCTGCCTAGAGACTAGAGGGAGTTCTGTACAGAGCCAGCACTGAATAAACATCATATATTTATTGGTACTTATTCTCGTAAAACCCAATTCATCCCAAGTGTCCTCAAACCACTGATTATGTAGTTATGGATATGTGCCTCAGTATAATGAGCCTCATGATGGATATCCATGGCTATGAAGCTACACAGGCAATGCTTTTGAAATAGACATCATCATAAAAGAACAAATTTTATGACCTCACATGTGTGAACAAAGGTATGTTTTACAATGAGAAAATTATTTATTATTGAGAACTGAACACACAAAGCATGAAGCTTTCCTTTGCAGGCTGTTTTGGTCCCCAATGAGACTGAATCAAGTCATATGTCTGTCAATGACCTTTTCGTACATTGAAGGGCCTAGAAAACAGTCCTTGTTGTCCATAAGGAATATTTAAGTAGCTCATAGCCAGTCTTAGTTTAGGCACATTCCGATTGCTGGTGGGCAACTGTAGCAGATGCTGTACCTGTGCCCTTTTCCTCTCTTGTGTTTGCCTGTATGCTGACTGCTGACCACTTCAGGGTCTCGGCCTGTCTACTTCTCTGCCTCACATATTTTCTGCTTCCATGTGTGCTTGCGCGGCTTTTGCACAGAGATACAATCTGAAAGTCTGTAACCTTGGATTTGGTGGAGTCCGTGGCAGTACCCTAGTTTCTCCACTCTGCAGGGGGAACAGTTGTGGGTAGTTGTACAGTAACTTCCAGAATTTCTCAACAAGTCCCCAGCTGGATCAAAGCTCAGCTTTCCCCAGTTCTTTACCACATCCTTTACTGGTGGCTCCCTTTTCTCTATTTTAATTTTTCCACGTATTGTTGTTTTTTGAGGGGTCCCCTGCCTGGAAAACTGCTTGCAACCAAGATTGCATCTAAATGAAAGTGAGATTTGACGAATGGACGCTTGTGGAACCCAATTGAGATAAAATGTAACCTAGCTTGTTTCACTTTTGATTCATTTTCTCAGAAAACACTAATTAAAGTCTATTACGTTTCAGATACTATGGTGAAGAAAGAGACAGATGGCACCATAAAGGACTTCTTGTTTAGCGGAGAGGCATGTAAATTAACAGGCAATGTTAATACAGTTCTGCATATCCTGACAGAGCCTGGGGTGGGCGTTCTGAGGAAGGCAGGGTGCCTAGCTTAGAGCAGGGAATTAAGGTAATTGTCCCAGGGGGCTAACAACTAACCCAGGAAAGGTGAAGATGGGTACAGTGGAGAAAGCCATCCACACAGGGAGAAAAGTGTACGGGTCCACAGAGCAGAAAAGTAGCAAACAAATGATTCCTCACGGATTAATAAAATATGTGGGTGACACGTAGGAAGTGACACATTATTAAGATAGAACTTAGAGCCTAACATACATCTATCTATTATCTGTCATCTTCTATCTATCCATCCCTTAGCATATAAAAATTTGCATTTCAGTTCAGTGGGAAAATGTAGGTTATTAAATAAATGGTATTGAAAGAAGCAACTTGTCATTTGGAAAAACAAAGCCAAATCCCTGTTTTATTGCTTACACTAAATTTTGGTGGATAAAAGACTTAAATATAATTTTAAAAACCACAAAGGTATGTGAAACATAATTGAGTATATTTATAATATTGTGGATGGAAATCCCATTCTTATAATGACATGAAACCAAAAATTATTGTAGGAAAAAACATAAACATGGCGATTTCAAACATAAAAACTTGAAATTTATACAGAAAGACACATACATTTGCATGCAACTATAGACAATCATAGATAAAACTCAATATTATAATGCCATATTTCATAACATATGAGAGCCAAAGAGCTAATTGCTCTAGTTTTCAGAAACCTCTTACAAATCAAGAAAGATGATTTGATTGATCTTATAGAAGAATGATTAATTTCACAGAAAAGAAATTACAATTGGTCAAAAGCCAGGTGTAAAAAACTGCTCAATCTCAAAGTAAACAAATGCAAATT